GAGACACACTGGTTGGAACGACACACCTAAATACTCTTGCAGGATTTCATATTTGCTTCGTTCTAAAAAGAAACCTAATTATCTAAGACCTTAACAATCAACGTCACTTTTGAGTATAAAGTGTCGAATCACATCTTAAAAGCCTCGTTTCTATAGAAAACTAAATATATATAAGCAAATCTATGAAACAGCGCACGCCGTTCGGCATAATCGTCTTCTGCTTCCTTCATTTTTCTAACTCTATTGATTTTGAAGGGGCGTTCTCCTGTCTCTTTACGTTTTTAGTTTTAAATGACATTTTTTTTTTGGTATCATTAAGTTTTTACAGATTTCTTTTTTACTTTTAGGAAAATTCATTTTAGAATCAATTTAAAGAAAATATGTTTCTTTGTCGTGATTTCTTTTTTGTTATTGAAAAAAAAAATGTCTTATCTTATAATACAAAACTGACAGCCACGTGACTTTAATTACATCAGAAGTAGAAAAGTAGAGGAAAAGGCTTGAAAGAGAGAAGCGACTATAAAAGAAAGGGAGTGGTATAAAGAGGAGCGAGAGAGCGTGAGAAATGTCCAGGCATATTAAGAGAGAGAGGAGGGAGAGAGTGAGGGAGAGAGAGGGGAGAGAGAGAAATAGAGAGAGAGGGGGAGAGAGAGGAGAGAGAGAGAAAGAGAGAGAGAGGATGATTATTAAAAGAGGAACAAATATAGAAGAGGGAGCTGGGGTGGGGTGAAAACCCAAATGGATTTAACAATGGAGCAAAACGTGGCAGAAAGATAAAACGAAGAATATAAAACAAGAAAGAACAAATAAGAAATAGGAAACTGGAAAAGAATGAAAAAAAAGACAAGAAGAAAAAGGAGAAGGAAAACAGATGAATAAAAATGAAAGAAAAATGTAGAAAGAAAAGGAAAGAGAAGTAATGAAAAGAAAGAAAAGGAAAGAGAAGAAAAGAAAAGGAGAGAAAATGCTGGTGAGTGAGAATAAAAAGTATTGAGTAAAAAGAAATATTGAAAAATAAAAGGAAGTTTTAATGAAAAAATAAAGAGTTGAATGAAAAAGAAAAAATAAAGAGAAAAAAGGTAACGAAAAAAGTAAACAATGAAAGAGAAAAAGAGAAAAGTAAAGTAAAATATAATGAAATCAAAAAGAAAGCCCGCGGATTGAGTGAATGAAAAAAAAGAATGAAAAAGAACGATGGAAGATGAAAGAGGTAACATGAAAACGAGGAAAAAATGAAAAGAAAACATTAAAATTAAAAATGAATAAGAAAGAAAATAATAAGAGACGTTTGAAGCAAAGGAAATATTGAAGAAAAAAGCAGCAAGATGAAAACAAATAAATGAAAGGAAAAAGAATTAAGAATAAATTCATCAATAAGAAAATAAAAGAAAAACGAAAGAAAAAATGAAAATTTATAGAAAATGAAAAGAGAAGAAATTAAAAAAGAAGAAAAATAAAGAATAAAAAAAACGCGGTAAAGAAAAAGGAATTCATCAGAAGAAAAACAGTGAGAAAGAAAATAGCTAAAATGCAGCAAATGAAGAACGAAATAAGTTAAAGAAAAAATGAAGAAGAAAGAGCAAGAATGTATTGCCGCCATATAGAAAGATAGACAAGGCGAGAAAAGCGCGTAGTATAAAAAAAAATGAACAGAAAATTAAAAAAAATCAAAATTGAAGCAAAGTATAAAAAGTGAACAAAATAACGAGAGTCTTACGAAAAAGAATGAAAACCCGAAACAAATAAGATAAAATAAAATAAAAAATACAAAATGGCGTTTACAAAATTCGTCATGATTGAAAGAAAATAACGGTTCAAATTTTCAACTCTTATATTTCGAAAAGGATTATTGAGTGCATGGGTGTGGAAGCAAAAGGAAAAGGGGGAGAATAATAATCCTCATATATATACAGAGTGCGATGGGTAAATTGCCCTCATTTTGTATTTTTAATTTCGCGCATGCGCTTTTTTTCTTTTGATTTTGTCGACTTCACATTATAGTAGAGAAAAAGAGCCCCGTGGAACAATTCAATCCGCTGTACTGCTTGGCATTCGCGCCGGGATCTCCTCTACGAACATTTCAGAGTGTTTGGATGTCAATCTGAGGACAGTGCATATATCCAGTCAACACCATGGTGTTTGGAGTGATCACTAGTGAAGGCGACGATATGCCTGCATTCATCTTCCACAGGGCCACACACTCAGCACAGATGCTTACATTAAGTGCCTTGAGAAGCTGGTGCTGCCCGGGGTCGAGAGGATGGCTGCTGGAAGACCCTATGTCTGGCAACAGAACTCTGCACCATGCCACACAAGCAGGAGAATAAAGACAATTGCAGCGACCACATCATCCCTTACATCTAGCCACCTAACTTCCCAGACTGCAACTCACCTTCATTGTTATGTGTAGAGCGCAGTAGAGCGAGAGACCAACAAAACTCTTTGTAAAGTCACTGATGAACTGAAGGCAAGGATTATGACAACATTCGTCAAAGAGACTGATCAGAAGAGTTGCCGAAGATTCCGAAGTTGTCTGTAGGCCGTGGTTGAAGCCAATGGCGATTTTATTGAATACATTTATTCTTTAGTATTTCAAGATATTTTTGTGTAATTTTGGAAAATATATCTGTTAAAATGAGATGTCGGTGTTATTTTTATATTTTGTGTAATAGACAATTCATCCATCGCACCCCTGTGTGTGTGTATATATATATATATATATATATATATATATATATATATATATATATATATATATATATGTGTGTGTGTGTGTGTGTGTGTATAGTGTATAGAAGCAGCAGGTCATTATTCGGACATATATTGTTAGACATAGAACATTATGAATTCACGACCTGCGACTGCTATTCCATGACCATTATCGTCGCATTACAAACGTCTATGTAAAAAAAACGGGATGTCATCTTTGATGGTGATAATCTCTGTTCTAATGTTCATATAAACACTCTGATGATTCCTCATGAAACCTTAGATCGACGGCCAATATTATGAAGAAATATCCAAATTTGAGACATTGTCTTTATTTCTTCTTGAAACTAAAGCCATTATACGATGCTTGGAACGGCTTCATGATAAAACATAATAGATATTCGTTCTGTTATATTCAACAATATATGTCTGAATATATATATATATATATATATATATGTGTGTGGTGTATATGTATGTACATATATATTTATATATGTATATTCAGACGCACATACATATATATATATATATATACATACATACATACATCCCATATATATATATATATATATATATATATATATATATATATATATTATGAAATGGACAAGGTCCGATAATTATTTAAGACCTTTTTATGTTTATACATTCTTTTTATAGATACAAATATTTAAGTAAATATTCTATTTATAATAAACAGTTTTAACAAAATTTTCCGGCCTGAATGTGTGAGAAATTTTCATAGAAAATATGCGTCCTCCGACTGGAATCGAACCTGTATCCTATACGGAACCGTCATATAGCCTGACGTGCCTTGACCGATTGGGCCACAGAGGAGCGTTCGGTTAGCAAAGTCGATTTTATTGTTTTTAAACACAATTCTCCTTGATTTTCTCTCATTCATACATATCTGCTCAATGCGTATCCATATGTAAACAAATGACGTCATACATTATGAAATGGACAAAGTTCAACTATTATTTAAGATTTTATAAACATAAAATATGTCTTATATATATATATATATATATATATATATATATATATATATATTTGGTTGGATAGATGTGAGAAAGTGTGACGCAGTGACATTCGAATTTATTATATAGAAGATGAGATATTTAAAAGTTAGAAAGTTGTCTCGCTTCAATCTGGGATCAAAGTGTAGTACCTGTTCACCTCATTTTTGATGGCAATATTAACCTTTTCATTATGAGGAAACGTTCGGCATTCGTTGACTTCTTCTGACCAATGTTATTCGAGTTAATCACTATCCATTGGTTTCGGATCAAAGTGTAGTATCTGTTCTTCCCATTCCTAATGATAATGTTGATATAAATAAATATAGAAATATTTAACATTCATTGACCGAACAGCTAGTGCTGATATCGGTTGAAATCTTTAAAATCTATTCACACAATTTTTCAAGAAAATAGGTTTCTCAAGTCCACTAACTGTTATCGCTCTTTCGATTATTGATAAGGGGTGGCTTCCTTTCTAACCTTTTCTTTGAACTAGTGTGGCGCGTCAACATCTTCATTATGATATCATTTTCTCTTCGCGTAGCCTGTGCTATCCATTTTAGTTATTTCCGTTCCTGAAAGTTTCAAGTTGATGTTATTTTGGCACGATTCTTTGTGATTCTAGTAGAATGAATGGAAGGCGGTAAAAAATGCGATCGATTATTATATAAATGACCATAGAAAAAGATGCTAGAAAAATGGTTTGCTTAATGACTCCAGTATGGACATGACTCCTTCGACCATGCTTTATCGTTAAAAAAATTCAAAATAGACCAAAAATGAAGTATCGGTGTCATACCTGGAAGGATTGATTTGCTCAAATCTCACTTGCCAGACTTGAAATCATTTATGCGATCATATAATGAATTATCGATGACCTTATTGATTTAACTGTTTTAACTCTTTCAGGATCTCAATGATCACTGGTAGTGACTTTTCATTTTGTGGATATCGTGTAGACAGCTTCCTACATGCTGTAAACTAACTGCTAGTAACGAGTTTGAACTCTTTGGTAAAGCTTAGAGAGGATGCTCTGGTCAACAGTTGCATAATATCGAGGTATTTGCTATGTAAAGCATGGATAGGTGTCCCTGCATGGAATTTCAGTAAGTAAACCTGAGGCCACATTACACTTTAAAGTTAGCCACCTTCCGGCCGGTTTGTATTGCCATATTCATTATGCGCAGTGATAATTAGTTTGGCGTTTTTCTACTTAAAAATTTAAATTAACTTCCAATGGAAGTTAAAATTAAAAGAAACAGGAGTAAACAAGGAATCAAAAACCACCTATCGCACCAATTTTTTTTTTTTATCTCTCTATATATCTTTGATGTGGTAATGTAACTATTTACACTATTTACATTGTTCTCATCTTTATTGCCACATTCACGACGTTTCAGCCGTTGTACGCTCTGGCCTTCTTCAGGATCTGTCTATATTTCTTCGATGTGGTATTGTAACTATTTACATTGTTCGGACTGTTGTCTTCATCTTTATTGCCACATTCACAACGTTTCAGCCGTTGTACGCTCTGGCCTTCTTCAGGATCTGTCTATATTTCTTCGATGTGGTATTGTAACTATTTACATTGTTCGGACTGTTGTCTTCATCTTTATTGCCACATTCACGACGTTTCAGCCGTTGTACGCTCTGGCCTTCTTCAGGATCTGTCTATATTTCTTCGATGTGGTATTGTAACTATTTACATTGTTCGGACTGTTGTCTTCATCTTTATTGCCACATTCACGACGTTTCAGCCGTTGTACGCTCTGGCCTTCTTCAGGATCTGTCTATGTTTCTTCGATGTGGTATTGTAACTATTTATATTATTTACATTGTTCGGACTGTTGTTTTCATCTTTATTGCTACATTCACGACATTTCAGCTGTTGTACACTCTGTCCTTCTTCAGGATCTGTCTATATTTCTAAAATGAGGTATTTTAACTATTTACACTATTTACATTGTTCGAATTGTTGTCCTCATCTTTATTGCCACATTCACAACGTTTCAGCTGCTGTACGCTTTGGCCTTCTTTAAGATCTGTCTATATTTCTGAAATAAGGCATTGTAACTATTTACACCATTTACATTGTTCGGGCTGTTGTTCTCATCGTCATTTTCATATTCACGACGTTTCAGTCGTTGTGTACGCTTTGGCCTTCTTCAGGATCTGTCTATGTTTCAGAGGTAAGGTATTGTAACTACACAATTTACATTGTTTGGACTGTTGTCCTCATCTCCATTGTCATAATCACAACGTTTCGCCCTCTGTACACTCCGGCTTTCTTCAGGAGCTGTGTATATTTCGTAAATGAGGTATTGTAACTATTTACAGTATGTACATTGTTTGTGCTGTTGTCCTCGTCTTCATTGTCATATTCACAATGTTTCACCGTTTTACGCCTCGGCCTTCTTCAGAATCGCTGTATATTTCTGAATTTTATTTACACCGTTTACATTTTTCGGAAAGTAATTTCCATTTTAGATCGTTTGTCTGACCCCGGGGGATGTTCAAGGCTATTTCCTCGATTGGGACTATGATGCTCAAGTATGCTATCTTCTTGATGGGTTTTTGCAAAGTCCTGACCATTGTCCACAGTGGATAATAGCATTGGTAATTGATTCAAAAAATGAGTTCAATCCCTGGCGTCAGCGGAGACAACAAAAACTTTGAGAGTCGAAATAAAATAAATATCTAAAGGCATGGCATGTGGAATTAGAACAATCTACCCCCTCATGGATTAAATAAAGGACTCGGTTTGAAATTCCAACAAATATCACCTGAAGAATGTCGGATCATATAACTACCGAAAATATGGAGATAATTAGAAAAGTGGACTAAATAAAGGATTCGGTTCGAAATTCGAACGTATATCATCTGAAGAAGGCTGGAGCGTACAACAGCCGAAACATCGGGCATAAGGCAATAAAGACGAGAACAACAGTTCGAATAAGCTAAATCGTTACAATACCTTATCTCTGAAATATAGTCAGATGTTAAAGGATCGGTACGGATCCGATATACTAAAATATGGAGACAGAGGAGTAGACTAAATAAAGCGTGTGATTTGTAATTCCATTATATATCACATGAAGAAGGCCGGATCATATAACTACCGAAACGTCGTGAATATGTCAATAAAGATGAAGATAAATAATCAAACGATGTAAATAGTGTAACTAGTTACAATATGGCATCTCGGAAATATCGGTGATTGGAATTTTGAGCTGAACACTTTATTTCGTTTGCGGGGGTAGACTATTCTAGTTCGACAATGTCCAAGTATGCTATTCGATTGATGTTTTTTTTCGAAGTCTTGACCATTGTCCACAGTGGATAAAAGCATTGTTTAATTGATCCAAAAAGGGTTCAATCCCTGGCGTCAGCGGAGAGAACCAAAACTTTTGAAGGCGAAATAAATAAAACTGAGATATCCAAACGTAATGGTACGTTGAATTAGAACAATATATCCCCGTGAACTACCGAAACGTCGTGAATGCGACGATAAAGATGAGAACAACAGACGGAACAATGTAAATAGAAAATAATGTAAATAGTTACATTACCTATCATAGAAAAAAATAGATGTTGAAGGATCGGTACGGATCTGATATACCAAAAATATGGAGACATTTAGAAAAGTGGACTAAATAAAAGGGTTCACTTCGAAATTTCACCGTATGTCACCTGAAGATGGCCGGAGCGTACAACGGCCAACTTGTGCCAACTTGTGCCAACTTCTGGCGGAACATTTCTCTCTCCATATTTCCGGTATATCGGGTCCATACCGATCCTTCAATATGTGTTTATATTTCTGAGATGAGGTATTGTAATTATTTATTCCAATCATTTATTTAATTATTCCAATCACCTGAAGAAAGCCGGAGCGTACAACGGCCGAAACGTCGTGAATATGTCAATAAAAATGAGGACAACGGTTCGAACGATTTTAATCGTATAATAGTTGCAATACCTCATCTCAGAAATATGAATGATTGGAATTTCAAACTGAACCCTTTAATTCGTCTGCCGGGGTTACACTATTCTAGTTCCACGGGTCATGCCTCTTCCGGATGTCACAGTTATTTCTCTTTAGCTCAACACCCCAAGATTTGGTTCATCCCCGCAGTGAACGTCGCGAATATAGCAAGAGATGAGGATAACTGTCCGAACAAAGTAAATAGTGTAAATAAACAACCATACTTGCTTTAATATTCATGATATTCTTAACAATTTCTGTATTGTAGAAACGTTTTTCCTTGAAACGCTGTCTCATATCTTAATACTCTGTGAAACTAATTTAATATCTTCTATCACAACTCATGATTTTTTTTTGTTCTAACTCGTTGTCGCAAAGATTCTAGGATACATATTCATTGTACGGACTGTTGTCCTCATCTCTATTGCCATATTCACGACGTTTCGGCCGTTGTACGCTCTGGACTTCTTCAGGTGATTGGAATTTTAAACTGAACCCTTTATTTCGTCCATCGCGGTAGGTGGTTCTAGTTTTATGTTCTCTTCCGAATGTCTCAGTTATCTCCCTTTAACTCAACTCTACAAGTTTTTTGTTCACCACTGCAGTGGACGTCGTGAATATGGCAATATTCGAGGCGACCTGAATATGACATTAAAGATGAGAATAACAGTCGAAACAATGTAAATAGTGTAAATAGTTGTACTACCACACCTCAGAAATATAGACAGATATTAAAACATGCTGTCAAAATTTTGGTAAACATTGTAAAAGAACTTGTTTTCTTATTTTTTATTTTTCTCTATTCCAGCTCTTTTGTAAATGCTGCAAAATATTAAGTTACGTCAATCATTTTGTTTATTATTATTACAATATATATATATATATATATATATATATATATATATATATATATATGGTGTCCATAAAGTTCGTGTGCACTTTAAATTATTTATAACTTTAAAGTGCACCCAAACTTTATGGACACCCTGTATATATAAAACACGAAGAGAAAAATGAAAAAAATGGACTGGTATAGGTATCCGCCATTGCCGATCCTCCAACTGCCTTGAATTGGGTGAGGGTGTTTCTTTGAAAATCGCCACCAGTGAGACGCCGAATACAGATCAGTAGTGAAGCGAGTAACAGACGGACGGACTAAGTAACTAAGGAAGGAACAAGCACAATTATAATAAGATTATTATTATTATTGTGTTTTCCCTTTGCTTGGTATTGTACGGGTTGCACCTAAGTCTGAACTAAAAACTTCAAAGGTGAACAAGTTTGTTTATTTCAGAAGATGCAAACAGATGAGGGACCCATACAATCAGGGAGAAAAATATGTTAATTTGGTTATTGTGTGGAGGGAAATCTTCGCAGTATGTGAAAATTATTTATTTGCATGTTTTTTGCAATTCACATATGTGAGGGCCTTTCTGGAATTCGATCCTCAAGCCTATTTCTACTTTTGATATCATTCCGAAAACCTCAATAACAACAGCTAATGTCTTGAAACATCCTTCCAATTATTATTATTATTATTATTTAATATTTGAGTGATGCAACAGGGATTCACAGGAATGTTGTTGTTTAGATTTAAAACTTGAATCCCAAAGTACTAATGTGTCTGTTTGATCTCCCCAAATAAGGAAGACATAGAGAGTGAGAGAGAGAAAAAAAAACATTGGTATAACACCTGGAGGGAAAAAGAGAGAGTGAGAATCAAAAGAGACAGAGAAAAGAGTAAGCAGAAAGAGAGAGAAATAAATAATATCGATAATGATGAGAGAGGGATACATAGAGAGAATGATGAAGAGAGTTAAAAGGGAGCGAAGGAGTGAAATATATGGCGGGAAAGGAAAAAAGATTGGCCCAATAGATAGATAGATAGATAGATAGATAGATAGAGAGAGAGAGAGAGAGAGACAGACAGACAGAGACAGAAAGAAAAGTTAAATAAGAAAAAGAGAGAAATGATGGCGAGGAAGAGAGAGCGTGAGAAAGAGAGAAAAAGAGAGGGAAACAGATTTTTAAAAAAGAAGGCCAGGGAAAGATATAAGGAGAAAGAAAGATAAAAAAAATGGATTAAAATAGCTGAAGGGAAAGAAAGAAAGAAAGAAAGAAAGAGAGAGAGAGAGAGAGAGAGAGAGAGAAAAGAAAGAGTAAGATGATGAGAGTGGGAAAGAGGGATGGAACAAATGAGAGAAAAAGGTGAAGAGAGTAATAAAATAGAGAAAGAGAGGAAGAAAAATGTTAAAAGACAGAAAAGAAAAACGAGACACAAGGAATAAAGTCGACTGAACTTTTTTTTTACGGTCTATTAACCCTTTGTGTGTCATTTAAATCCGAAATGTATTGTAAAACAGTAAGAAATGAATATTGCATTAATAATTTTCTTTGGGATAGCAATGATATTTCAAATCCTAGTTTTAATCCATAGGGAGAGGGAAATTTGCCAAAGGTAAATACGCGTAAGTGAAAATAACGAGTTCGATTGGAATTCGAAATCGGCTCTCCGAGTTCGCATTTTGAACTACTATTTATTACACCAACCGCACATACAACCAAGTGAAGAAAAAGCGAGAGAAATAAGCAATAACTAGACAGAGAGCGAGAACGATAGAAAGAAAGCACGTTAAATGAGAAGAGAGGTAAAGAAAGACAGTGTGAGGGAAAGAAAAGATTAGTGAAATACCTGGAGAGAAAGCAGGCATAGGAGTGATAAAAAAAAAAGAAAGACTACAAGGGAGTGAGAATGAAAGAGAGATACAACAAGATGTAGAAAGGGAGGGAGGGGGAGAGAAAGAGAGAACGGTAGGAACTTCTAATACGACACGGCCGTGTTGCACGTGCGTCAGTATAAATTGACACCTCCGTCACTGACTTGATAGATTTATCTTGTTATGATTTTCATGTGATAAGTAGATAAACACGTAGAATGTTGCCAGGTAAAGTGATCAGATCCCGGGTGTGAAAATAGAAAATGCGAGCGGCTCAGAGAGACACGCAAAAGTGCATATTCACGTTGGAGCATGCGCAGAAAGGAAACCCAGATAAGCATACACTAAGATACATCTTCCTGATATTCATGAGTTGTCTTAGCGTCCGGTTAAATATATATATATATATATATATATATATATATATATATATATATATATATATATATATATATATATATATATATATCGTCATTTAGGTATAATTCTTCTTGCCATGTATAGATGTCGCACTTCGTTGCCCCACATTCGTTATGTAATCCCCACCACAGACATTTTGTATAAATTTATAACTCCGTAATATTCCTCCTTTTCCAGGTGGAAAATGATTTTAGGAACTGATGACAATAGATTTTGTTTTGGGGGAGAGAATTTTGTATCCAAATCATGCCTTGAAATAATAAAAAAAGAAAAAAAAACAACGTACCTCTTCTTATTTTTATTCTTTTTGTCGTGTCTTTTCGAAGTATGGGCAATCATGGCCCTCCACAACTTCATTTTTTTAATTTTTTTTTTAGATCTAAGCAATATTTGTCCCCTTATTATTCCTCCAAGTTACTTGTTTTTTTTTTCCTCTGAACCATTCGCCCTTGCATGGATTATTGATGCCATATATGGTCCGATACCCCTTCTTCTCAAGATCCTTGATAACATCCAGAGACGGATATGCAATGTAATTGGCCCTGATCTGGCATCACTTCTACAGTCGCTCTCTCACAGACGTGCCGTTGCCTCCCTCTGTCTTTTTCCCAAATACTTTCACGGTAACTGATCAGATGAGCTGCTTTCGCTGGTTCTCATACTTCATGAATTTAAGCGTCCTACGAGGCTGGCATCTCGCTCCCACCCTTTCACTGTCGAAACTGTTAAATGTAGCCGTCTCTTCTACTCCAATAGCTTCATGTCTAGCACTTCTCGCCTGTGGAACTCCCTCCCCTCTTCCTGTTTCTCTGATAGCTATAATCTCCAACAAATGCAATGTCAATCGACGTCTCCAGATGCCCTGATCTATCCCCTAACCTTCTCTTCATTTTTTTCCTCTATCAATCTTCTTTGTTCTCGGTCCAACTCTATAACTCCTTGCGTGCTAGTGGCTTCCCGACTTGCTTGAGATTAAATGTTTAACACCCCCAAAACCTTTGATATGTCTTGTGAGTGTCAAATTCTCCAAAGCCTCTTTCTTCATTATGAGCCCGAATAATTTCAACAGTCTCCATCTGATTGTAAATATGAGGAAACGTTTTGTTCACTTTTATCTTAAAACGACATCGTTGCTAACATAACCTATCCAAAATAATATTTAGAAGCTTCCTCTAGAAGTACGCCCCTGTTGCCAGAATTCTCCTCGTCAGGGCATTGGCGATCGTGGCTCTCCACAATTTCCTGTTCTCTGTGGTGTTTCCTAATCCGTTTTCAGCCAACTATTTACACCAGCTCGTTTTTCCTTTCTTTTTTTGCAATGTGCCATGTCCCTTCAGGAAGTGGGCGATTATGGCTCACCACAATTTCCTGTCCTTTGTAGCGCTTAAAAAAATGTCTTTTTGCTATCTCTCTTAATACCTTTATAAATATTAATAAGAATGCCGACAATACGCATAAGAATAGAAAAGATAATTTGGTTTGACCCACCATTTAACAGTAATGTCAAAGGGTAACATTTTCCTAAATCTGATTCAACTATATTCCATTGCTAAACAAAACATTCAATAAGAACAACATTAAAAGTAGCTACAACTGCACCAAAAACCTCGAGCACAGCATAATAATATAACATTAAACAAATATTTAAATAATGTCAACAACAATATTAACACAGACAAAAGTGTAATTGTCGAAAAAAAATTAACTGTCCACTAAATCATAAATGTATGTATAAACGCGTCATCTACAAGTCTAGCATTAAACAAAATGGTGTGACAATTTTTATTGGTTCTACGGATTAGATATAAACAGATCGCGCTGACGCTTCACGCAGAGTTAGACGAGACGAGCGGGAAAGAGCTGCTACCAAAACCCCTAGTGACCTGTTGCTGAGAGAATTCCCTATTTTGAATCCCACCACCACCTTGTTCCATGATTAAGAAGAACAAAGTGTCACTATAGAAATTTAAAAGGCTAGGGTAGATTTTTGTACCAGTACCTATATAAACCAATTTAAAACTAAAACTTCTGTTTTTATTTCGTTTGAATGGTCATTTTTATTTCATTCAAAATACAGCTTCGCCGTAGTTCGAACAGGTGCTCCGAATTACCGACGACTTTTGATCTTCACTGCTCCGAGATCAATGAACACATCGTGTGCAGATTGGGGTGGATCGAAACGGACAGCGACCAACAACCAGTTGACCGACGACGATACTGCCCAGCGTAGGTTTGACCGTGAGATTGATTCGTCGCCTACCACCCCGAGGACCCTGAGAACCGGACTGCGGGAGCGGTTACATCTTCTGGTATAGACGGCGTGTAGCAGTGGCCATAATATCTTGCTGCTGCAACACAGGCTTGACCAAGGATCTATCTATCTATCTATCTATCTATCTATCTATCTATCTATCTATTATCTATCTCATCTATCCATCTATATCTATTTAAGGTTAATTTATTTCATTTAGAGCCATTTAAAGGCCTCCGGATCATCAGATAGCACTTCAAAAATGAAAAAGTTTTTCATTTTTGGAAGTGCTGATGATGCGGAGCCCTTTAAAAGGGTTCTGGTGAAATAAATTATTATAATGGAACCTTAAAGTGGTCTGTTTTTCGTTAATATATATATATATATATATATATATATGCATGTATAAGTGAACACTGATGACAACACTGAACGTTCGCTGAATGTTATATATATATATATATATATATATATATATATATATGTATGTGCGTGTGTGTATGTATTGGTTTTATCACGTCAGACTATTTCAATTATTCGGACTATTGTCCTCATCTTTGTCGCTATATTTATTACAACGTTTCGGCCTTTCAGTATCTGTCTATGTTTCTGAGATGAGGTATTATGTACACTATTTACATTATTCGGACTATTGTCCTCATCTTTGTTGCCATATTTATCACAAAGTTTCGGCCGTTGTACGCTCCCGCTCATGAGTGTACAATGACCGAAACGTTGTGATAAACATGGCGACAAAGATGAGGACAATAGTCCGAATAATATAAATAGTGTACATAATACCTCATCTGAGTAATATAAAGAGATACAGACTATTTCAAATTTACCAAAATTACCAAAGGATACCAGGATGTAGACAAATGAATTCTAACTATCGCACAGAATTGGTTTTTGATAACGGTCGAAAGGGTCGAAAATATCGAAAGCACTCTAACCAAACAATAACAAAATTCGGACAATTTATCCTCAACTTCCTTTTCAATACTTAAAATTTTATTTGAATGTTGGAAAAATATAAATTAAAAAAAATCAAGCAAATAGATTTTGTCGTTTTTTTTAATAATCAAAATTGTGTGAAATTAATACTTTCTTCCGAAATATACCGTATTCTTATAATTACAGACAGATTTCATGTCGATAATTTAAAATACCTATGTTTTAATTCATAGTTTTAAATAGTTTTTTTTAAAAAAGATTTAGACGTATTAATAACTTAGTTACCTCATTGCTTGCTCATGTGTCTATATGATAATAGTTTAAAATTGTACAGTACACAAATTTAGCGATTTTTCATTTCACAAGGAAACATTTAATTCTCAGGTTAACAAAGAAACTTCTGTCTTAGAAAAAGGAATACTATAATGACGACATTATGCTAATGTCGAAAGTACTCGGAATAAAATGAATATGCATCTACATGGTAATTTTTTTTTAATATATATATATATATATATATATATATATATATATATATATATATATATATATATATACAAGTGTTTTTTTCGGACATAGTGATGTAAGGCTGACCGAATGTAAGAGCAGTCCGAATAAAAGATCTGACCGAATATAAGAGGTTACCGGATGTAAGAGCTGCCCGAATGTAAGAGCTGTACGAATGCAAGAGCTGTCCGAATGCAAGAGCTGTACGAATGCAAGAGCTGTCCGAATGCAAGAGCTGTACGAATGCAAGAGCTGACCCAATGTAAGAGGTATCCGAATGTAAGATGTGTCTGAATATAAGAGCTGCCCGAATGTAAGAGGCGTCCGAATGTAAGAGGTGTCCAAATATAAGAGCTGTCCGAATGTGAGAGCTGTCCGAATGCAAGAGCTGTCCGAATGTAAGAGCTGCCCGAATGTAAGATCTGTCCGAATGCAAGAGCTGACTGAATGTAAGAGCTGCCCAAATGTAAGAGGTGTCCGAATGTAAGAGCTGTCCGAATGCAATAGCTGCCCGAACGTAATAGCTGTCCGAATGTAAGAGGTTACCGAATGTAAGAGCTGTCTGAATGTAAGAGCTGTCAGAACGCAAGAGCTGTCCGAATGTAAAAGCTGCTCGAATGTAAGAGGTGTCCGAATGTAAGAGGTGTCTTAATGTAAGAGCTGACTGAATGTAAGAGCTGTCCGAATGTAAGAGGTTACCGAATGTAAGAGCTGTCCGAATGTAAGAGCTGTGCGAATGCAAGAGCTGTCCGAATGTAAGAAGTGTCTGAATGTAAGAGCTGCCCGAATGTAAGAGCTGTACGAATGCAAGAGCTGTCCGAATGTAAGAGCTTTACGAATGCAAGAGCTGTACGAATGCAAG